GACGTGATTGGAAACTACCCGGCTGCGTTGTTACACATGTGATCATGGAGCAGTTTGAGGCCGCGAACAGCATCGGTACGAGAAAAACAGAGTACCTGGGATCTGGTTGCAGCAAATGCCCATAACTGAGTGATCTCGAAATAGCGTTTTCAACAACCAGACTACCTGCATTTGCGGGCAGGTCATTTGGCATACAGCTCTTACACAGCCATTGGATACTGCACGGCACTGCGACCTGTGGTGATGTATCCGCAGCCACCGACCCAAGAATTCTGTGTTTTCGATTAATCTATATCCGTTGTCCAGGGTGATCGCTGAAGTTGAAACAGCGCGGCACCCTATCGAGCATGTGAAGTTATCTGCTGGAACTCTCGGCACAAAAATGCTCATGAAAAAGGAGGCCAGAATCGGAAAATGAGATTTAGAGCCCTTTTAGATCAATGTTCAAGGAATGAAGTCGGCCTTAACCCTTGACACCCGTCCGCAAATTGCAGTGGGTTGGTGCTAAAATGTGCATGCAGATTTGGCGTTCTCTGGAGAGCCCTACAGCTCTGGTTCACTCCCCTATTTAAATCGGCAAAGCAAGGTTGTCGCCGTCATCTCCGCAGAGAGTGGCATAGAACAATCTCGACTGTGCTTGGATGCTCATTGCAGAAGACCGCTGCAACGCGCCGACCCGCTCACATGGACGATGCACGAAATGTCTCCCCTTGTCGATTGTCAATGTGCGGAACTGCAGCAAGTGTAAATAGCTGACCAGCTATTGACACTTGCTGCAGTTCCGTACATTGAAAATCTGGCTTCATGAGGTCCAAGATGTTGGAGCCCTGGCTCTGCCCGGGCTGTCGTTCTCAAGTTGCTTATAAACTTCCTCGAACGTTTTGACTCCATGATTGCTTAATATTAATCTTTACACTCACATTTCACAGGACAGTAGCGGTCAGCTCTTGCGTGCGGTTGACAATCCATCACAGCCCAGTCAGTCGCCGTTGCTTTGAAAACCACCTGTCGAGGCTCCACTCCTCACCCATCCATTCGTTCTTCTCTAGGTCAATCAATTCTAGTGCCTAAATAAAGTAGATTTTCCCATTCCCGTCCCAGTGAACCATTCTCTAATTATCAGCGCTTTATCAGACCAATGCCCATCAATGGCTCTTGCACCCTATCAAGGGACTGGCAGGCCTCCAATAGTTGCCCTAACCGCGAGGACGGAGGAAAGAGGTCGGAATGTCTTGAATCAGGATTCAAGATCAAGGACGCAGCTCCAATCCATCGGACGCATCTTGAATTGCAGTTTCAGGCCATGGCGAATTCGGCAATCAGGTGTTGGAAAGGATATGTCAATATCCGTGCTTCTTAGTAATCATTATGCTGACCTTTATCAGAAAGGTGTGGTGTTGAAACTGGTCAATTTCAACTTTTTAAAAGCATGGCAAATGACTTCATCGACTTCATCTACAAGTCAGCTGCTACGCATTAGAAAGGTCTTTTATTAATACCAGATTGTATCCAGCTACAGAGTGACATGCAAACCGCAATATTGAAAACGGGCAACATCAACGAGGAGACCTACACATTGATCAGCGTCAGAACACAGCCACAAGCGCAAAGCCTGTTACATTGTAAGCAGTTACAAACCAAGTAAGGCCAAACATGGCGCGGCATCAAGCTGGAATATACGTCAAGATGCAGCCATGATAGAACTGGAGTGGTTGATCAATAATTTGGATTGGTTGCGCAGCCATCAATTACCATGGCGGGCAGCCATTTTTGACAAATGGGAGCATGGCAGCTGTTCATTGCCCAATGGCTTGCGATTGGCGATATACGATTGTCTCGCTGGGCATTGGACAAAGTCGACTCCCCGGTGGCATTCTGGACGTTCTTCATGAAAGTTTCGTTCAACGTAGAGGATTCCGCGTGGATTCCTCGACAGAGAAGAGAGGAGCGGGGGAGAGCAGAGCTGCAGGATCTGGTCCGAGACGTTCATTTGCAGAGCGTGTTCACGCAAGCGGACAGAACCCATCGGCTGGGCATTGAAGAGATTCCTCCCTGCAATCCGCTTTACAAACCCCATCTGATTCATTGTGGATGGAAACTGAGTGTGCGCGTTTACCCATCGAAGCCGCACAACAGGATGAGCGTGTCTCTGGCTTCCAACTGCGATTCAGAGACATACTGGAGTCCGAAGGGAATCGAATGTTTCACTGGCATGGCTGCAGATTTGGCTTTTGCCTGCGAGGAATCGAAGTCCGCAAGGAGATCGCCGTACCCTTTCCAGACAGATGGGGATGGAGGTTGGAAGGAGAGGGACCCGGCAGAAAGGATTGTGCGTGTGCGTTGCCAATAGGCTTCAGCATGGAGATCTCCCAGGAGTACGGTGAGTTTGAGATCAATACGGAGCGAGATGCGGTGGTGCTAGTAAAGTCTGCATATGACGCTATGCGTTGCGTCTCTGCATCTCGGATCAATTCCAGCAAGCCAGCGCGGACCGGCGTCAAACCAAATGTTGATAAACGTGCCTGCCGACAAAGGCCGTGACAGAAAACCATTGGCACGGGATTGCAGTGCGCGTCCTGCCGCTTTGCATCGTCGATAGGAATATATCTTATTAGTGGATAAGTTATGAAGGCTTTTCCCCCTTTTCAACTCGCATATTTAGCATTTTTTTCAATTCGAATTAGTTCAGTCCTGACATTATCTCTTTAGGCTTGTCATCGCGTCCTTTTAATACCTTTCTTTGCCACTCTATACAACCTAGCCTGGTTATGCTTAAATTTTTGGTCTCTCTTTGTCGATATTGAATCTGACATATCTTCTGGAAAAGGGGAGATGTCAAAATACATATTGTAATGTATATTTGATTGTTCTCTCAAAGTGCATTTGCATTCCCCATCATCCTCAAGAGAGCCCAGTATTAGGGTTTTTCACATTTGTGGATTATTTTCTGCTTTTTAAATGAGTAAAAGTCGTCCTTGCGGATTTTCTCGGCCACCATTGGGATTCGTCACTGATAATACTTGATGAGTTGGGTGGTACTCATGCCCTTTCCCCATTTTTCTTGTGCGGTCTCTAGACGTTCTATATACTCTAGTATTGTCTCTCCCGTAAGGGGAAGCTACCTCCCATCTAGCAATGTCTTTCTCCTAGCACTATAATGCTCTTGGCAAGCCTATGGATATTTTGAAATTAATGGATTTTTGGTAACTTTAACATCCGAGGCATCTGTTTCATCAGATTCACCAAGCCTATCAACACTATCTTTGCGATCCAGTGTTTGCCTACAAATAGCCTTAGCATGAGGAGAAAGGCTACTAGAGCCGGATGATATCAGTTCAACAGCTAAAGATGGTAGCTTTTCCTCATGCCCTTCGGGTTGCTCTGCATCAATACGTGGAGACCACTCACCCCTTGACGTTTTCGGCTTTGCCGGTGTGACCGTCTTTTGGAATGCCCTCCGGCTGCCCTCCATGCCATGTGCATAACAAAAGTGCTGCATGTTAGGTGTGAAAGCATTTTAGGTGGAAAGTTGTTGGAATTCCTCAGCTTTGCCATGTTGGGTGGCGAATCGCATGCGCTGCTGACCGTTGGCACTCAGATTGCGCTCTTATATGCGGGGGTGCCGGCAGAGGTGGTGAATATCATTGATAATAGTGTGCATTATATTGGTAGTTGCATAGTGATGTTGTTGAATTTCTTGGGCAAGATGTTGAGAATCGAAAGCATGAGGTTAGGGAGGATCATCGATCAATTCCACCTTGCTGAACGCTTCATGAGTGCCCTGTCCATTGTGAATATCAGCGCTGCCACTCTCTGCGCAATGGGGCGTCTCTTGTAATGGATAGTTTTGTATGGATGGCTTCATTTTGCTACCGCGCATGTGTGGTCCTAAAAGCCAGGACAACGGATGTCTTGTTGCCTCGCTGAGAGCTTGAGACCTCAAGCACCTGTGCTTGTGGCTTAAGAACAGTTGCTGCACAATACTGCCAAATCTGCATTACTTAATGGTTGGACTTGACTCTCATACTATGAATATCAAACTCATGAGAGCACCACTGAATGGAAATAAAAGGAATCAACCTTTCTATGCTGAAGCAGTGAGCCAAACTCATCGACAAAATTTGATATGAGACATAGGGAATACTTATTTTTGGGTCATGGCAAGCGCACCTTATTTCCAGCACACTCCATTTCATGAATTGCTGAAATCCATGGCGTGTGATAGACTTCTAAGATGGCGATGATGGTGTGGATCATACTGCAACAAAGAATCTGCGATGCGAAGGATGCATACCATGCTGCCAGGGCTTGGATAAAAAAAGCATGAGCAGCAGAATCCAGTCTCCGTTGTCCATCTGACACGTCAGAAAGCCAGGCTATCATCTTCTCTCTTTTATTCTGGGAGATTCTGGTTACCATGATGGACAAGTTGCCTACCCGAATCATGCGCTCCTTTGGGGTTCGCATGCACTTGTTCTTTGCCCCTGTTGTCAGGGATCAACCAGAAGTGGAAATCGAACAAAGCAATGCGCTTGCAAATAGAACAATATCGGACGCAATGCTGATGGCCGTCGGATGTCCAATGGTGTCTCTGCCATGTCCACTTACGAAGCGGTGCAAGTTCGCTCATGAGCTCATGAGTTTGATGGCGTGATCGCGTGATCCTCCCAAGACGGCATGTGCAAACCCCTCAAAATCAACAGGTTGTGTGCCCAGCGATCTGTCTAAGATTTCAATGCAGATTCCACAACGAATCCCTACCCGCCAAATAAATCCAGTGCCAATGCATGATTCCGATCTCAGTTTCGAAATTATTTTGAGGTCCTTGCCTGCACAGAAGGCCATTGGCACCCTGTTCTATGCACCGGCTAATCTCAACCCTTCAAAGTGCCTTCCGTTGTCCCTTCCTGCCCCCAGAACTTGATTGATTGCCAAACTGTACTGCCGCCGTACTTCTCCTTCCGCATCATTAGTGAGGCAACCCTCCCTGTGCAGCGCACTTACCCGGCGCCCGCCTCGTTGACAGTCTTGGCGATCGGGCCCGGCCCGGCCGAGCGCATCCGATCCGCGATCTCGAGCATGGCCCGCACGGTGTGGTACGCCGACTTCCAGTTGTTGCCCTTGCCCGGCTCCCCATTCGGCACCCCCACCTCGTCGACCGACCACCACCACCCCGCGTGCTCCCCGTCGATCAGAAACTCCTCGGCAAACTCCCACGTCCTGGCGAACGCCTCCTCATACCTCCCTTCCTCCCCTTCGGCGATGGTGCTCATGAGGTGGAACGCGTTGAGCGCCTCCGCCTGCGCCCACCACACCTTGGTCCTGTCCGTCGCGTTGCGGAACGCGCTGCCCGAGTCGTACAGCCCACCGAGCTCGGCGTCGTATCCGTACATCAGCGCGTGCTCCGTCAGCTTCGCGGCCCTCTCGCGCACGGCCTCCACAGCCTCGTGGCCCAAGACCTCCGCCGCCTCCAGCATCAAGTAAGTGGTCTCGACGTCGTGGCCGAAGGAGTCGTGGTCCGGGAGCGCAGCCCAGCCGGGCGTGAAGTAAAGGCCCAGCGCTCCGGGCTCCACGTACACCCTGTCCGCGATGATGTCCAGCAGGGCCTGCAGGCGGTCGCGCAGCTCGGGGTCGTCCCAGACGCGGTAGAGCGCCGTGTATGCCTCCAGCATGTGGATGTGCGTGTTCATGGACTTGAACCCGAACGCCGTGCCAATGTGATCGAGGGCCCACATGCCGTTCTCGTCCAGTCGGGGCTGCAGCGGGCGGCCCCTGCGATCCAGCGCCTCCACGTACCCGCCGTTCTCGGCGTCCGCGGCGTGGTCCTCCAGCCACCTGAATGCCCGCTGGGCCAGGGCCAGCGACTCGGGGTCCCCCACCGCCCTGTGCACGTTGGCCGCGGCGTAGATGGCGAAGGCGTTGCCGTAGACGTGCTTGTAGTGGCCGCCGTCCGGCGCGTGGGCGCCGTCGTTCTCCAGCTTCCAGAAGAAGCCGCCGTGCCTGGCATCCCACATGGCCTCCTCCAGGTGGCGCAGACCGTGCAGGGCATAAGGCTCGAACATGTCCGCCACCTCCGGCCTCCTGCGCGCAACTTCCGCCGCCACCCACGTCATGCGCGCCTGGAAGACGATGGCCTTGTCCTGCTCGTCCGTGGCGTTCCACTTGTCGTCGTAGCCCGCGGTGAAGCCACCGTGCGTCACGTCAACACAGCGGGGGTACCAGGCATCCAGCTCCGCCCACATGACGGATTCGAGATCATCCACGGAAGGGGCCATGGCGGCCTGGGCGCCGGCAGCCGCGCAGCACAGCCAGAGGCAGGCGAGCGCCAGAAGGTGGGGAGCGGGCGCGGCGCGCGCCACGCGCAAGCGATTCGCGGAGGCGGGATTCATGCTGGTGCGGCTGTGGGAGGCGTTAATAAGGGAAGAGTGGGTCGGTATTTGTAGGTGCCGCAGTGTTGATGCAAGGGCGCCGCAACCGCGCCGATCCACAGCCAAGGTGACGGAGGACAGGCCAGCCGGGTGCCAGCCTGTCCAGCGGCGCGAGCGATCTTGGAATGGGACAGCTGCCCGTCGGGCACCGGCGTCCAGGACAGCATGGTGAAGTAATCACTACAGTGCACCCCTTAGTTGAGCAGCCGCTGTCCTGCCAGCGAGACATGGGACGATCCGAGCAAGACACTCCGGTCCCAGTCATGTACGCTTGCAGGTCTGGAGTCCTTTGCCACTGCAATCAGTCAACGTCGCAATTGGACTTGGACCAGCCCCTGATCGTCTTGCTGACCTCAAGGGCGCCTTTGGGGCTGCCGGGTGGCGGCCGAGCTCAAGGCACTTGATGGCTCGCGCGATCCTCCCACGACAGGATTGAGTGCGACGTTTCGCGACACATGCAGAGTTCTAATTGATACCGATAAGTCTAGGAAACATCGCGCTACGACGTGTGTTCAACCCCCAACCCACCCCCCACCCCCAAGATTTCGGTACATCTTCCCAGGAAGATACAACGTGGGCCAGCGATGATTCTTGAAAGTGACACTGACGCGGGGCCAACAACTGATAAGATTATTGACCCATTGTTTCCCATGCGATGGGATCCTCGATGCCCCGTCTTCTCTCAGCAGTATTGTCGGGAAGAGGACGATCAATCAATGAAATTAACTAAAAGTAATGAAATGACTACAGGCAGCGAAAATCAGTTGTGATCACCATTTTGAGCCCCTTTCATATCATGTATTCAAGACGATGGAGTGCGCCCGAATGTCTGTCGGGAATAGTGCAAGATCGGTGTCGTGTTTGTGGCGCTAGCCGCTAGAACTCAGCTCATCCGATGGGGTGGAGTCCGATTCGGATTCTCTGATGATATGCCCCAAAAATTTGGGTCTAATCAATCCCATGTACCAATGTATTGGGACAGTACAGTTAGTATATACGTGTACCCTGGGCATGTGCGTACCCGTAATGAAGAACGTTGACCAGCTGTCAATGGCCAACGCATTTGTTAGGTACGCTTCCCAAAGGGCCAGCTCCTCCACGCGTGCAGTGGGTGCGTTGGCGATCCCACTTGCGCGGGGCCGCCAGATGATCTTTTCTCTGGTCCTCCCTGCAAATACTGTTGGCTTTGGCCACTTGCGCTAGCAGAAAACGCCATTCTTGCGATGAAATTGCGATGCCATTTTGAACTAAGTGATTCCGATAGGCTAAAGATAGCTGCGATGTCACAAATTAGTGTCAAGTGGCATCGCAGTTGGCATCGCCAGAATATCGTCTTCTACACGTGATGGTTTTGCCTGGCCTGAATCCGACCGGCTTAAGAAGGGCCCTATTGCATCCAAGCTTGGGTGTCCCACGGCGCCCCCGGGGCATGAAATGATGCAAGTAACCTCCACATCGGAGGAGGAAATCGCACAGCTGTTGCATACAAAAGAAGCAACGGGGTGAGTGATGTTCTCTGTGTTCGCAGCCATCGGCTGTGTGCAAGGTGCAAACCATACTGGCGACTCCACCCATGGCGCTCCTGCCATCTGGCCTTTCGCGGATCCCGAACAATAGGGAAAAATCGCCAGAACTAGGTGCCTCTGTCTTGCATTAACTCCTGCTTTTTGATAAACAGCGTGCTGTGGTCTTCTGTATCAGGAATGAACGGGATGGATTTCGATACATAAGGCATCAGTTTTTGCCATCATCTTTTCCGAACTAAACTGTGATTGTCAAGACGATCCTACGTATACTTTCCGTCCATCTCAACGTGCAGATGTTTGCATCTCCTAGCATTACAATACATTCCAATATAACGGAGTTGTTACATAGGCAGAGGCAGGTCTATCTCGTTCTCTGCTGCACCCACCAGATTTCGCGCCAATACACCATGGAGTGGAAGATGACTGTTTGGATAATTTCGGCTCCAAACATGCAAGCCTCGTTCCAGAAACCGTGTTAAGTGCGTACATTTCCCCTGCCGTCATTTATTGATGGCGTGCCCATTGCCATCTGCCTTGCAAGTCATCAGACAGCCAGTTTATTGATTGATGAAGATCTGTCTGGCGCCGCCTCCCACGAGCTTGTTGTCGGGCTCTCCGGCTCGCGGGTCAGCGCCAAGTCTCACGACATTGCGGACATCAAGAACTGCGAAAGCTATAGATGTGGTCATGTGGTTTCTTCCAATAATGGGCATGCCCGAACGCGGGCATACGAAAAAATAACAGAAGTTAATGCAATGTTGAATGTACAGTATCACTCATGTAATACTGAATAACACTGCAGGGAGTCCGAGAGCGTGTAGTATGCGTGGATGGCGCAAATTTAGGAAAACGTTTCCAAGCTGCTCAGGCTCTGTCCCAACGATTAACGTTGTTGTCGACGGCTAGACGGACGAAATGATTCCTGTATGTGTTTCTCGCAAAGGCTGCAAGATTGTTCGCAGCATTTAGTGGTAACTCGGACATCGTAACTTCATACGTGCACAACACTGATCGATATACAAATAAAATCCTAAGGAAAATGACAAAAGGGGGTCCTCTGTGACAAAAGGAATTCCTCTGTGGGGGTGCATTTGACAAGAAGGGGTCCCCTTACTCTCTCTTGTACATTAGACTCATTGCCAGACCGGCGCCAGACTGACGCCGTACCGACACCGGTCTGGCGCCAGACTGGACCACGGTCCTACTAGGGGCGACCCCTCTGGGAGGGGGACATGGCAATTGGGACGTAAAGGGGATTCGCGGCGATCGGGGCTGCCAGGGAGACCAAGCGGCGATCCGGGCTGCCAGAGAGAGCACGCAGCCATAGGATCTGTGGGAGGGAGGCGTAGCAATCGGAGCTGCGGGGGAGGCCAAGCGGCGATAGGGGCTGTGGGGAGAGCAAGCGGCAACCGGAGCTGCAGTGAGAGCAAGGGGGGATCGGGGCTACCTGGGATGTCAAGTGGCGATCAGAACTCCGGGAAGCAGTCCCAGAGATCAGAATTGCGGGAGAGAGCACGCAGCAATGGCCAATGCAGCCATGGCAAAGCAAAGCAAGAGGTAAAGGCTCAGGTACACGGTAAAGGCCAAGAATGGTTTGGAGATTGGTCCGATGGCTGAGTCAATCCACAAAGGCACGAAAAATGTTTAAATGTTCTTTTTTTTTGAGCTTTCTGAAAGCTGAAGTCTACAACACACAAGTTTTGGCAGATGTGGGACACTTGTAGCACATTGATTTGTAAAAGCTCTTTTGTAAAGTGAAGTCATTGGCAACAGCTAGATGTAAAATGACCCTTAAGCATAGAAACCATGCCATACTAACGGTTTTCATGACTGAGTTGTGAAAAAACACAACCCAAACAATTGCATTTATTGATACACCAAAGGCAAGCAGGGGCATTTCAGTGGCATCACGAAGACCCCACAAACCCCTACAACACCCCCAAGAGGGAAACTGACAAAAGACGGTGCTCTGTGGCGGTGCATTTGACAAAAGGGGGTCTTCTACGGGTTCGCCCCTAGTAGGAACTGCTTACCGACCGGCATCGGTCTGGCGCCAGCCAGGCAACGCGTCTAATGTACGTGGGGTGGTCTGAGAACCCCCTTTTGTCAAATGCATCTCTGCAAAGGACCACCTTTTGTCACAGAGGACCCCCTTTTGTCAAGATATCTCACAGAGGAACCCCTTTTGTCATTTTCCCATAAAGCAATGATTGTGAGAATCTTAGATGCCCTCACTTTTTGCAGAAAACGAACAAGTTTATCGGATTTGGCAGTACATTGAGCCCGTTTCACTCCGAACCAGATTTGAGCTTACTAAAAGTTCGCTTGCAACCCACAAAAGATGCACTGGATGTAAAAGGCGCCATGCAAGGGCGGGGCGCATTTCCGTGGAATCCACACTGGCCGTACAGGTTAATAGTCCAAGCTGCTTAGGCTCTGGCCCAATGATTCGCATTGATATCGATGGCCAGACGGACGAAATGACTCCTGGGTGTGTTTCTCGCAAAGGCTGCAGATTTGCTCGTAGCATTCAGTTGTAACTCGGACACCGTAACTTCATACGTGCACAACACTGATCGATATACATGTAAATAATAAACACAGCGTCTTGCCTTACATTCTAACCTCGGCGATCGGCAATTTCATTTGTACAAATGAAATTGCCGATCGCCGAGGTTAGAATGTAAGGCAAGACGCTGTGTTTATTTGTAGCAGTAAAGCCGTAAGACCCACAAGGACTGGTTAGCGCTGAACAGGAGCTAAGCTCAGCCGTTGCCGCCTCATGTCCCTCCCTTTGTCTTGCATGCTCAGGGATCACTGGTGCTCCTAGCGTAATATTCTGAAGATAGGGTCTTTCTGGGCTACGTCTTGCATACGGAATTACAATATTGCGCATGTATGTATTCCTACTCCACATAGAGTCTGGTGCCCGCAGGTTATGCAGAACAACTTGCTGCCCAAGTTGGAGACTTGAAGCACAACTGAAGTTTCATTTGCAGCTGAACACGCTTCTGGCACCTGTGGGGAGTGCATGCTGGGACTCGATCAAGGGTTGACCCTAAAGAGGAACCGCGCTTGACGATGCCCCATGTCCATGGGTCCGCGTGTCCATGGTGCTGCACAATCGCAAGTGATGGGCCGTGGTGCTTGTGGGTGATGAAAATTGCAGAATTAAACATTTTCTACGCATATGTTTGGCCATCTACAGGGAAGGCGAGTGCGACGGCGGCCAAGAGTGGACCGCCACTGTGTGTTTGGTTGAGGCGGTCCATAGTGCCGCCGGCCAGGGCGCGATAAAAAAGCGGAGATTGCATTGATGTG